ATTTATTTCTAAGTAGTTTATTCTTGTTGATGCCATTGTAAATTGGTTTTTATTTTATGTTATTTATTTATTTATTAACATTTATTGATTTTTGAGAGACAGAGAGAGACAGGGTGTGAGCAGGAGAGGGGCAGAGACAGAGAGACACAGAATCCAAAGCAGGCTCCAGGCTCTGAGTTGTCAGCACAGAGCTCAACGCGGGGCTGGAACCCACAAACCATGAGATCATGATCTGAGTCAAAGTCAGACGCTCAACCAACTGAACTACCCAGGTGTCCCAGGGGATTTTTATTTTAATTTCTGTTTTTGATATTTTTTTGTTGGTATATAGAAAAACAATGAATGTTTTATATTGATGTGTATCTTGCAACTTTATTACAGTTGTTCATTAGTTCCAACAATTTTTTGGTGGAGTCTTTAGATTTGTTATATGTAATACAAACAGATGACATGATTTTACAGTCATGAATTGGATGTGTTTTATTAGACAACTAGATCTACTATCTGAAACTCTGTATTTATAAGGTGCTTTAAAATCACAGGTCTTTACATTTGAATCCTGGCAATATCACCTATTTGCTTTTATGAGTTACAAAACAGTCCTATTAATGTCTACCTTATATGGCTATTATGAGGGAAAAAAGAGATAATGTACTATAGTGCTTAGCATAGCATTTGGTTCAATGAATTTGAGTATTACAGAATATTAAATGGAATTTTTGACTACAGCTGTCAAGATACAGTGGAAGTAAAATTCCAATGCTAAATCGTCATACTCAGAGTTTGTCAAGAAAGGTATTACAGCTCTTGGGTCCTTCAACTTGTTGGTGATTTTAAAAGGCTGCTAATAGTAAAAGAGAAGAATGATTTGATCAAGGCATTTTGCATTTGGAAAAAGCTATTGGTACACCATGAGTCCCTCCGATCTTCCCAGGGAGATGAGTGGAACCACAAACCGAATGAGAAATCCACTCTGAGAGTTTATTCTCCACTCTCTGAAGTTGATGAAATACAACACTGGAGCCTGACTCCAATGGCTGAGTAGGCTAAAGCAGTTTGTAGCAGTTGGACGGAGGTGCCGTGCAGCCATCAGTCAGTCTTCCTAGCAATTGTCAGGGTAAAGAGTGTGTGAGTGTTATCTCAGGACCATACGTGGACCTCGTACATGAGCAAAAGTGCCTGTAGATAAATGGTCTGGAGGAGTTTGGTGTTCTGCTCAAGAGGACTTCTGCCAGAAGATGACAGGGGACCTGTAAGGATTAGAGTGGATGGTAAACTGCTAAAGAAACAGAAGCTGAAAAGCAATTAGGGCATAGGAGGCTTAGCGGACACCTGCATCTTAGGAGGGAGGGTACATGTTCTTAGAGAGGAATCAGTTTGAACATCTGCCAGGCTGAGAGTTGATGCTGATTTAGACTGTGCCAGTCCAAGAAGGACTTCCTTATTCTTTATCTCCTTTCTATGCCTTTATCCTAGATACTTAAATCCTGGCTGGCAAGGCTATGAGCAAGGAACAACTCCAGGCAGAGAAAGAGAGACAGCCACCCACACCTATCTTTCCCACTGGTGCCTTTCAGCCTGATGCAGACCTCAAAAGACAGATTAGCCATTAAATTGAATAGTGGAGTGCTTTGATTAATATCTTCAACTGGGCAATCTAAGTTTGAGTTGAGACTGCATTTGTGACTTTAAGTGAAAGCTGAACTGATAATTAAATGTGATCAGAAAAGCTTTGTTCAGGAAACTGTCTTTCTTATTGAATATTATTGGAAGAGCATTTAAAAGAAGATGTTATTACATTATTAGTTGTGCTTGTCTGGTGTGTTGATTACATTAGTATTGTTGATGCTGTAATAAAAAGGCTATCTTCAAATTCAGCATCACACACTCAAAAAATTTTTCATTTGTGTTTGCTACTCCTCTGTATTTTTCAGGCTTATAACTAATATTCTTTAAAAATTTATTTTAAATGTTTATTTATTTATTATTATTTTTTAATTTTTTAAAAATGGTTTTTAATTTCTTTCTAAGAGAGAGAGACACAGCGTGAGCAGGGGAGGGTCAGAGAGAGAGAGGGAGACACAGAATCCAAAGCACGCTCCAGGCTCTGAGCTGGCAGTCAGCACAAAGCCCGATGCAGGACTCGAACCCACGAACCGTGAGATCATGACCTGAGCTGAAGTCAGATGCTTAACCGACTGAGCCACCCAGGTGCCCCAAATGTTTATTTATTTTTGAGAGAGAGACAAAGCATGAACAGGGGAGGGGCAGAGAGAGGGAGACACAGAATCTGAAGCAGGCTCCAGGCTCTTAGCTGTCAACACAGAACCCGATGCGGGGCTCAAACCCACAACCCGCGAGATCATGACCTGAGCTGGAGTCGGATGCTCAACTTACTGAACCACGCAGGCACCCCTAAGTGATATTCTTATACTACAAATTAATTCAGTTATTTAGGAGGACACTTTGTAACTAGGTTTTTCACAATGCTTATCAGAAAGTTATTTTGCTTAAAGTTAATGTTCTTTGAACACTTTACCGAGAAAATTTGATATCCAAATTTACCTTAAAAATTTTCTAGACTGAAATGATTCAGCATGTGCCATGATGTAGCATTTTGGGGACTTGATGTCCTATTTGTCCATGAACTAGAGCAAATAACCATTAAAAATTCTTTAGAACATTTTTTAGTGTTTATTCATTTTTGGGAGAGGGAGAGAAAGAGAGAGAGACAGAGAGAGAGAGAGAGACAGAATCTGAAGCAAGCTCCAGGCTCTGAGCTGTCCACACAGAGCCTGACACAGGGCCAGAACTCACAGACCATGAGATGGTGACCTGAGCCGAAGTTGGAAGCTTAATCTACTGATCCTCCCAGGTGCCCCTAAAAATTCTCTTAAATTGAGGTATTACATGTGTAATAAAAATACACTGTACATAAGAGTTTGGTTTGATGAGCATTCATGAGGTGAATACATGCATGTAAACCAGCATTCAGTCAAGAAAGAGAATCTTATCAACACACTAGTCTGACATCAAATATCAATAGTTATACTAGTTTTTAAATAAGGGAACTATATTTTTGTGTTTGTGAGATTCATTCATGTTGATGCATGAATTTATGGTTCAGTCATTTACAAATCTGTATCGTATTCCCTGAACAAACTTAAAATAATTTATTGGTCTATTCTACTGTTGATGGGCATTTGGATTGTTTCCAGGTTTAGATGCTTACAAATAACGCTGCTAAAAGCATTCTTTTTACATGTGTTTTGATGTATATATTGTACATTTTGTTGGTTATATGTTGGAATGGAATTGCTATACTATAGGTATGACTATGTTCATCTTTAGTAGAGCATGACAGTTTTCTAAAGTGATTGTAAAAATTACACTTTCATCATTTGTGTATGAGAGTTCCACTTACTCTACTTCCTTGGCAATACGTGATGTTGTGTTTTTATATTTTAGCAATTGTGACGTGCGCCAATTATCTTGTGAGGAAAACATTGTCCTAGCCATTGGCATGCCCTCAATAAACTTCCAAACTGGGATTGAGCTATTTTCTTAGTTTTCTTTCCTTTCAAGAGAGCATTGCTCCAGCATGACCGATTATTGAAACATAAGTTTCTATATTTAGTAAGGAATTACGAATATCTGTATCCTGGTAAATGCTGCTCAATACTTACCAATAACTTGGCTAAGTGAAAGAATAGCTTATGAAGTGCATTATTCAGTATTCTGAGTGCAAGTGCAAAAAACCTGACTCAAACTAGTTTAAGTAAAAAAGGTGACTGATTGTTCAAGCTGAAAAGCCAAGTGTGCCTGGCTGCAGGGGCTAAGCTTCACTTTCCACATCAAGGAAAGAACTTTCTAGGCAAAGCTTTCTCCTTGCCTGGGGCAAGATTTTGCCCTAGCTCCAAACTCGCAGCAGTAAAACAGAAACCAAACCAAAACAACAACTGTAACAACAGACTTCTTCCTGTTTTCCTGGAGCTCTGTAGCACAAGTTCTGGAATTGAGTCTTCTCAGCTCTGATTGTACATTCCTTGGCTCAAGGTTGGTACCGATAACCTCTGACCACATGCTTTCAGAGGAGCAATGATGCTCTGAAAAAAAATTAGGTTGCTATTAGGGAGAAGGGAAGAAGAAGGGAGAATGGTTGGCAGGCAAAAGCAAGAAATCCGCTATAAGTCAGATGATTTGAAAAAGGGTATGCAGTCTATTCCACTAGCTGTTACGGTACTTGCCCTTGGATCGCACAATAGTGTTGGAAAGTTGCATGCATGGATTGCGTTATTTTGGGCCCTGTAGAATTGCTTTAATTGAACTGTGCTTGCACATTCTGTTATCATCTCGCATTAAGAGACAGAATAATAAGCGGCCCTGCAGAATTCCTGATGTTATCGTTGGATAGTCCTGAGGACACTGTTTTATTCTATTTCAGTGTCCACTTTATAGGATTTCATGGGAGAAAATCCTCCCAGGTTTCTCTACCAGGAAAAGTTGAGCTGTTTTGAAAAAAGTTTTGTGATTTAATCTTATGAACACTGTGATTTCTGAGACTGATAATATTTCCCTCTTTGCATTGCCAGAATGATAGAGTCAATTTTTTTCAATGGGACTTGAACTCCTGACCACAAAATCAGGAATCGTATGCTCTACTCCCTGAGCCAGCCAGAAACCCCTAGAATGATAGAGTCAATTTTATGGCTTGTTTTAATCAAGTCCAATAGGCTTCAAAGCTTAGTTTTTTAAGTGGAGATCTCACTCCTTTATTTTTATCTTCTGTTTCCTTTAAAATATGATTTACCAATTCTTTCCCCTTTTTATTCTGCTATATGTCTTCTGTAAACTTCCTGACATCTTTTCCAAAACAAAGTTGAGAAATAAACAGAATTTATGAAAATTTTATTCCATGTGTTGAAACTATCACTGCAAAACAAGTAAATTTGCTTGGTTTTGATAAGAAGTATATTAATAAGACTTATTTTGGGTTCCAGTTTTAGATGAAGGGGTTGTGAAACACTACAGGATCAGAAGACTGGATGAAGGGGCGTTTTTCCTTACCCAGAAAAGAACCTTTGCAACACTGAATGAGTTTGTGAGCCATTACACCAAGGCAAGCGATGGCCTGTGTGTCCAGCTAAGAAAACCATGCTTAAAGGTAAAATGCTTTCAAGCTGTGTTAGTTTTGAGGTTAACTCTTTTCCTTTAGACACTGGAGTATTTGCCATGTGATAAGTCCATTCAGAAAAAAAAAGGGGTCATTTGATTACCTATGGCATGAATAGATGAACCATGGCCTCTGAGCTAATACTGTCCCACACTTACTTTTGAAATACTAAGTTTTCCTGGAACATGTTCATTTAAAATTTGCCTTTGACTTTTCTCTGTATGAACAGCATTTAATAGCTGCAACAGAAACCTCATGGCCTACAAAGATCTGAATATTTACTATCTCATTCTTTTCAGAAAAAGTTTGCCAACCCCTGATCTTAGGTACTCATTGAAGCCAGAAAATATTCATCCTTTGCTCTAAGGAATTAATCTGGTATCCTGCCACCGGAGCACTTACCGATATGGCTGGAGGGGGTGAGGATGTGCCAGAATGTAATTATTTAGATCTGTTTTCAGGAATATTAATATGAAATTACTAGGCTCATTATCTGGCTGAGTTGTCTATATAGAGATATCACTTAAGTAACTGTTATAATAGTTTGGCCAGGCTGAACAACATTTATCAAACTTATCTATACCTGTTATTATTCAATTGTTGCATGTTTTACCTAAGTTGATTAAAGTTATGTAGTGGACTTACATGGTAGTGGGGTAAAACTTCAGCTTCCTCATCAGAGTTTAGTCTCTCATGTCCTGTCCACAGCACAGCCATGTCTGTGGTTTATGCCTGCATGATCACTGAAGGCTTCCTGGTGATGCCTGACCAAAATATTATGGGCAAGTAGAAGATGAAGAATATTATCCAATATGTAGGGAATTCATTGACTTAAATCCTGCAAGGGCAACTTTGGTGTGAATATGTACATCTTGGATGGAATAAGCATGAATGACCCCACAAGAAAGGGTAAGCTCATGCTAAGAGTAGCTTACCTGACACAAAAGTATCAGAAAATACTCTGTTTAACCAATATTGTTGAAAAGTGTTCATAAAGAAGCATAAATGACCTTCTGTGTATTCAAAATGCTAATGACTTGGCGGAGGAGATGGTGAACTGGGTTATGAACACTCAGAGGGCAGGGGTCTTGCCTTGTTGGTGCTTGAAAATTTTTTATCTACTAAATGAACAAGTACATGATTGAATGAACAAATAAACAAATTGAAAATAAGATGAAAAATTTAATTATGCAAAAATATATGATACATATGGTAAATGTTATAGGCCAAGGAACTTGGGAGGTAATTGTGGATTAGGTGGAACTTCAAATGGGTCTTAACATTGGGAGGATTTAGCTTGGCAGAGGAAGAGAAAGAAGCAGAGGACGATCTTGCCAGACCCAGGCAGGGGTAGCATTGGGTGTGGGGTGGGGCAGATGGACAGCAAGGGACCTCATGTGGCAAGATTTAGGGAGGAGATCAGCTCGAAGAGGTAATGATACAGATTCTGCCAAAATTGCTTTCCATTTTTAAAGTAATTAGAATAAAATTTACAATATTTGGGTTTTAAAAATGATGTCTCTTTTTAAAAGTGCCTAGACTTAGGAAGCCTCAGTGGCTCGGTTGGTTGAGCGTCCGACTTTGGCTCAGGTCATGATCTCATGGTTCGTGGGTTCGAGCCCCATGTCGGGTTCTGTGCTGACAGCTCAGAGCCTGGAGCCTGCTTCAGGTTCTGTGTCTCCCTCTCTTTCTGTCCCTCCCCTGCTCACACTGTCTCTCTCTCTCTCTCTCAGAAATAAATAAAACATTAAAAAAAATTTAAAAGTGCCTAGACTATTATTTTCAATCAAAAAATTGTCAAATCTTTTTCTTATAGTTTTTCCAATTATTCTGTGAAACAGGTACAAGTACCAGTGACTTATGATTTGTCGTATAAAACCGTGGACCAGTGGGAGATAGACCGCAAGTCCATACAGCTTCTGAAGCGATTAGGATCTGGTCAGTTTGGTGAAGTGTGGGAAGGCCTATGGAACAATACCACTCCTGTAGCAGTAAAAACATTAAAACCAGGTATGAGAATGAGAATGTCAAAGGTTAAATGGCATATGTTAATTAAAAAAATTTTTTTAAGTTTATGCATTTTGAGAGAGAGAGAGAGACAGTGCGAGTGGGAGAGGGGCAGAGAAAGAGGGAGAGACAGACCCCAAGCAGGCTTTGCTCTGTCAGCACAGAGCCTGATGTGAGGCTTGAACTCACAAACTGCAAGATCATGACCTAAGCTCTGAAACCAAGAGTTGGATACTTAACTGACTAAGCCTCCTAGGCACCCCAGCATTTGTTAATTTTTATAAGTTCACCTTGCCACTGTAAACGTCCAAGAGGTCACAGGATAGCCAATACATGCACCAAGAAAGTATTATAATCACATTCTCTGGCCCACGTGACCATAAAGCATAACACGTTTTAGGATCTAAAGGTAAGAGCATGTGCCTGTGATCAGCTAAGTCTTAAAATATCCCCAATACAAGACTTCAACCAGGCATCTCTTCTTTGGAGTTTGGATGGTTCCTCTCCCCATTTTTTTCCCAGCCTTTGTTAACTTTAGGGGTTCCTGGGTGGCTCATTCAGTTAAGTGTCCAACTTTTGATTTTGGCTCAGATCATGATCTCAGGTTCTTGAGATTGAGGCCCGCATTGGGCTTCGTGCTGACAGCCCTTTGTGCTGACCTGCTTGGGATTCTCTCTCCCTCTTTCTCTGCTCCTCCCCAATGCACACAGGTACTTACTCTCTCTCTCTCTCAAAATAAATAAATAAACTTTAAAAAAGGTGACTTTACTGGAAATACTTAAAACAATACTTAAATCAATAGAACCTTGGAGATCTTCAGGGAGAAACTATTTTATTAAATACTAATTTCTTCGGGTTAAAAGGTAAAATGATCTATCTAAAAGACCTCATATTTGGAAATGTAGGAACTGTGTTTTCACCCATCTTCCTTTTTCCTATCATGGAAATTAAAAGTGAGTGTACTAAAATAATATTTATTTAGCCAGGCTGAATAAATGCAAGGCTTTCTTTGCAAAGAAAGAGATAATATTAAGGCCAACCCAGCAGGATTATTACGAAGATTAAATTGGGTCATTAGTGGAAATGCTTTGAAAAATGTCTGGTTCATAGTAAGTGATCAAGAAAAACTGTTCTTATTTTAATTATTATTATTGTTATTGTTATTATTATTATTATTATTATAAGGTCAGTAAATGCAAGACCTAGAATTTGAACTCACATCCATCATTATTGCATCACACTCCAGGGGTAACATTCTATGAAAGTACAGCATTACTGTAGTCACCTCGTATCTACATCTAATAACATAGGTAAGAATAATAACCAGAGGCTAGAAATTAGTTCTCTCATTCTTTACCTAACCAGAATTCATAAGAGTTTTGAAAGCCTCCTGATGGCAGAACTTGAACACCTGGGTGCTATTGAATAGCAGTCTGGCATAACACCATGGTTCTCACACTGTGTGCCAAGGCACGTTGGGTCACCATAGTGAATTCACAGGGGTGCCACAGGATATTTAAAAGTTTTGAGGTAAATAGCTTGAATACCACACAAACTGCTATCCCATAAGGTAGTTCATTGTTTCAGTATTAGACATGTTACATTCTTTTGGTGACATCATATCTCTGTGAAACTGAGTTTTGGTGGTGACAGGTCACATGCAAGATCCACATGTATTACTTTTTAAAATGGGTATTAAGTTGTTAGAACACAGATACTTTTAGAGTTGCTTTGATTTAACCAAGTAATCAATAGAACTGTTAGGTATTCATTTTGGCTTAGGGGCATATCATGGAAAAAGTTACTGAGACTATGAGGATGCCATGAACCAAGAAAGTCTGGGCTCCTCTGGTGTAATAGTAAGAGCATAAAGTTTGATATAAAATAGACCTGAGTTCAACCTTGCCTCTGCCCTCTGGGACATTGGACAATGTATTAATCTTTTGAATCTCCTCATCTGGAAGTGGGAATTATAATAGTTCCTACTTCATAGAGTTTTATGAGGACAAATTGAGTCAATGTACATAAAATATATACGGTGAGATCTTAATAAATGTTAGCTTCAATGGGGATGCTGACCGATGTCCACGGAAGTGCAGATTCGCTAGTACAGGACGTCTGTCAAGCATTTACACCTGCCTCATGAAGTGATAGAGAAGCACTTTTAAGTGGCCAGATGCCACGTGAGCACTCCGGGTGAGGATGATCTATTCTAGCACTAGAGATTTTCACAATCCCTGCATCTATATTATTTTGAATCTTAATCTTGTTGACAGTTGAGCCTAAACTCTATGGTCCAATCTAATCATTCTTTTCCCAAACGAAGTAGCTAGGTATTCATTCTAACACTGCTCTCTAAGGAAGGCCTTCTGGAGGTCAAAAAAGAACAACCAAAAAAAAAAATCCACATTTCTTATATTAAAAAAAAAAAGCCACGATAGCTTTCTCTCCAACAGGAATAATTATTATTGATTTACAGTGTAATAGCAGCAAACAGCTTTGGTGATTGGTTAAATGTCTTCACTTCACTGGGGCCATTAATCAATCTTAGCAGCTATTTATTGCTTAGCAGACTACCATGCAATAAAGACGAGCCTGAAATCAACTCCCACAGTGGCTTTGACAGGGAAAAATTAATATTTAATGTTGCATTACTAGCTGAGTTGAAATTGGGTCTCTACTGTGTAGCTGGTCAGCTGCAACGGTAGTAGCTGTGGAGTGCTCTGAGCAGCCTTCACCTGCAGAGGCTCCTGATGTACTGCGGTTGTGGGTAGTCTGATTTGGCAATGATTTGAGTGTCCTGCATTCCACAAATCTGATGGCTACCAAAGCATTAGAGTAGAAACATATTGTGTATATAAACTGCCTGAATGGTGACCATAATTGTTATTATCACTGGAAGCTTAATGAATCAGATTATTTCGGGGGTGGGGTGGGGAGAATCCCACTATATCCATATTTGACCATAGGCCAATCTAAATTTAACAAGAAGAGAGTCCTTCATGATAGTTTGGGTGCCTCTTTGATTATCAGCTCCATTTTGCCACTATGATTCAAAATTTTAATCCTATTTGATTATGTGGAGCAAACCAATGGTAGGGATGGAGCTGAGGAGGCACAGAAGATCATGATGGAAATGAGAATAGGTCATTTTTATTTACTCTTCCTCAGTGAGTCCTTGCCCCTTCATCTCCTCAGTCTGTGAAAAAATATAGTTGATCTGTTTGGTTTTTCCTAGAGTATGTTTATTAATAATAATACAAATAGTGGCCAACAGTAATTGAACATATATGTGATAGTTATTGCTATTTAATGATAATGATATTATGATATCAGTAAGGTTATTAGCCATGTTATACAAATGAAGAAATTGAAGTTTGGAGACATTTTGTAACTCGTTGAAGATTACACCAAGAGCTAGAATTTGCCCAGAATCTGGCGTTAAATCAAGCCTGTGTTCTGAACTTCTAGACTCTCAAGGGAATACCAAAGGATGGACTGCCTAAATGCTTTATGTGAAATGATCTGCAAGTCATATGGAACTCTTCTTGACTTCATATTAATAAATAAGTCAAACTGTTATCTTAGAATGTCAAAGCTTTTCCTTGCCTGGGTTCAAATATCAGTTGTGAAGTCTTCATAATGAGATACTGGTTAATGGGACAGTCTCTGAGCATCAGTGGCAATGATATTCACACTATCCATAGTGAATACTGAGATATGAAATGACAGTATTCCTTCAATTACAGCAATACCTCTGAAACATCATTTCCTCAAAAAGAATGAAAGATTTTTTTTTAGATTACTGGTAAAATGTAAACTGCAAGTATCCTTTCTCCTCTTAGATTTTATTTGTTATTAACTACTTGGCACTTTGCAAAGTAAGAGTTGAGCCATTAAAATACAATTTAGTTGTAGGCTAGGCTTCAAAATAGGCCCCAATACTGTATCCCTTATCATTTGGTTAATCTACTAAGAGTCTGACTAAGAAAGTAGTAATACAGGAGAAAATGCTGAAGATCAATTTCAAGTTAGGCATAAAAGACTAGTGCAAAAAACACTCAGTTTGGAGTGTATCCCTTGAATGTTTTCTATGTGGCCTTTACCATATGTCCCTACAGAATTAAGGACATAAATATGGCAGAATGTCATGGCTTCAGGATTGTTATCCAGCTGTTCCCACAGTGGGTACCAAGGACAGGGCAGCTATCAGTCTTCCCTGGATCCTGGACCAAAAAGCTCTGGTTGCAGTAATTAAACATTCAGTGTCCTTCAACATTCATGTTAATAGAATGTCTTCTTTTTGTGTTCTTAATTTGCTTGCCTTGTTTTATCAATTAGACTGCCAGTCTCTCCTTTTTCCTTCATTTCTCACGTGGACCTGAATCAACATCTCTTCACCTACAGGTCATAACACATAAATTACACACCCTTGATGCATCAATACATCAGTTATTAGGTTGTCCTTGCTGGACTGATTCTCTTCTTTGATAAATCTGAAGATTTGTGACACCAATGCTCTTATCTTACTGAGAAGCAGTTAGCAATCTTGGTGATCCCTACCAGACTGCTGTGAGGATAGGAATGCCTCAATAACAGAAAGTGATTTCCTCTTCTTTTTGTTTCAGGTTCAATGGATCCAAAAGACTTCCTGAGGGAGGCACAGATAATGAAGAACCTAAGACATCCAAAGCTTATCCAGCTTTATGCTGTTTGCACTTTAGAAGATCCAATTTATATTATTACAGAGTTGATGAGACATGGAAGTCTGCAAGAATATCTCCAAAGTAAGCTAAAGACTTAATAAAAGGAAGAAAAGAGGAATTTAGTTTAACTAGTCCTATAAATGTCAATTTAGCAAGCCTTCTATAACCCAAAGGATATTTACTATGTGTATATCTGAGAGAATGAATGGCTCAACTACTTTTTAATAGGATATATGCTGTGTGTTCAAAAGGAGGGAAAATATTTATGTAGTGAAGAACAAATTGTTCACAACAGACATATCAGAGGACGTAAATGTAATGTAGAAAACTGAAGAATAGGTGTTTTGCGTGATGCTTTGTTTCCTGCAATAACTAATAGGACATAATCCGTCATGGACCAGTTTGTTCTATGGCTCAGAATTAGGGACATGGGATACTTTTGGGGAAAGAGAGGGAGAGGTACCCTCATTCTTTTTCATTTGCCAGTGTTAACATCATAGTTATTGGTGTTTAAAATACTTCCACTGCTAAGCAGCATTAGAATTTTCATACTATAAAGCAGAAATATACAATTGCTTTATTTCTACATCTGCTTCCTGTAGTCAGAGAAGACGTAAGGGCATTGTGAAATTTTGATGTTTATTAAAAATGAATAATTTAATAAGCAACAATATAATGAGTATTAAAATGAGATGTTCAAAGTAGTGGAGATCAAGTACTGAGAGAATAATTCATGCTTAAAAAAGAGACTTTTTCTGTTGCTTTCCTGAAATGTCAGAGTGGTACTGATAGAATGTGCGGAGGTAAAGGGAGGTGAGAATAATGGAACAAAGATATTAGAAAGATAAGAGTAGTCTCTGATTTCAAGGTGACTTGTGAAGCTGGTGGTATTAAATTGCAAAACTGGGGAAGAACAAAGGACATGGGACTGTTAAATGCTGTTAAAAAATATGCCTAGCTCCTTTGCATGAGAATTTCAAATTTAACGATATCAGACTATGTTAGCCACCATAGAGAAACTAACCTCATTCATTGCCCCCTTTTGCCTTATTCCGTGGGACAGAAGCACAGTAGTTATCTTGGGCCCATCTTTAACAAAAATGGTTTGTCAAGGTCACAGTGACAAGTCTAACACTCAATTCTCAGTCCTCCAACCTATTGGCAACATTTATTTCAATGGACACTCTTTCCCTTTGGAAATACTTCTTCATTTGGCTTCCAGGACACTTCACTCAATGGCTTTTCCTCCTATCTTTTTTGATGGTTCTTCTCCCATCTATGTGATTTCTCTTATCTCTCAGACCTCTTAATATCTTGGAATTTTGCAGCATCACCAGTTCCCTTGCTAATCTCAGTCAGTCTCAATGTTAAATGACATCTATGTATCAAAGATTCCTCAAATTACATCCCTCCATTACTTCAGAATCATACATCCAACTGGCTTCTTGACTACTCTACTTGAATAGTTCTCTGAATAACATAGGTATGATGCACCCCATGCCCCTCCCAAATCCCAGAGGCATTTATTTCTTGCACATGCTATGTGTGCAAAATCGATTGGTTGGTGACTCAGGTGTTTTGATCACCTTGGCGGGGAAGGCATGGGACTAATCTCATTCTGGCTCATAGAGCTCCAACCAGGAGATGGAGAGATAATTTCTGTGCCCTTTTCCATTTGGTCAAATCAAGTCAAAAGGAATGGGGAAGTGCAATCCTTTAAAGTGGTTGCAAGGAGAGAGAAAAAAAAAATGTTTGTGAACAGCCAGAATTTCTACTCCATGTGTCCATTAAAAATCTCAAAACAGTCATGTCCAAAACTGATCTTAAGTATGCCCAGTCCTCTGCTACTCTTGTGGTCTTTTTTTTTTTTTTTTGACAATGTCAATACTCAGGCCTAATCTCTTGGGTTATCTCTACTTCTCACAGTGTCTATCTAACTAATCTACAAACCCCATTGGCTTCTTTCCAAATATATCTGGGATTTTGCCACCTCTCAGCACTCCTCCTTGGTCCAAGCTGACATCAGCTCTTCCCTGCATTATACAACAGCCTCTTAAATGGTTTCGCTCTTTTAGTTCTTGCTCCCCTCGGTCTCCACTCAACAAAGGAGGTGGAGAGAGCCTGTTAAAAGGTAAATCAGATTGTGTCTTCCCTCAGCTCAAAGCCTTCAGTGACTCTTACTGGTTCTCTCTGTACATACAACCCATAAGGTCCTACATGGCCTGGCTCTCCATTACCTCACTGACCACATTACCTCACATTACCTCACTGACCACTGGGAGAGCCCAGTGTCTCCCTTGTTCACTCTATGTCAGTTGCACTGTCCTTTGCTTCTCTTCCTATCTTCCAGGTGCACTTTGCTTCAGGCCCTTCACGCTTTTCCCTTCCTCCATCTGAATTCCACCCCCTCCATGTAACTCCCTTCCTCACTTCTGAGAAGTCTGTCCTCAGACATTCCCATTACAGTGAGTCCTTCAGTGGTCACCCTCTGAATTCCAAAATTTAGTCTCCTTCTTTTGTCTCTTTGCATTCCTCTTTTCTGCTTTTTTTGTTTTCCTTTTTCTTAGCTGTTAATCATCATATAGTGCATTGCTTTTTTTTTTTTTTTTGACAATAGTTTATTTATTTTGAGAGAGAGAGAGAGAGAAACAGAAGGCATGAATAGGAGAGGGGCAGAGAGAGAGAGGGAGAGAAAGAGAATCCCGAGTATGCTCTGCACTGCCAGTGTGTAGAGCATAATGTGGGGCTTGAACTCACAAACTTTGAGATCATGACCTGAGCTGAAGTCAAGAGCCAGATACTTGGGATGCATGGATGGCTCAGTTGATTAAGCGTCTGACTTCAGCTCAGGTCATGATCTCATGGTTCATGGGTTCAAGCCCCACATCAGGCTCCACATTGCAGAGTGTGCTTGGGATTCTCTCTGTATCCTCCTCTCCCTCAAAATAAATAAACTTAAAAAAAAAAAAAAAGAGCCGGTTGCTGAACAGACTGAGCTACCCCAGGAACCCCAAAGCATGACTTTTTAATGTGGCTTATTGTTAGTATCTTCTAAAATACAACTCTTTGAGGACAGAGATTTTTCTTTATTTTAGTGATAGAATAGTTTCAGGTACATAGAAAGTATGCCCTAATTATGTGTTCACTGAATAAATGAAAAACATTAATGGATAGATTAAGTGGGGCTATTCTAAACCTAATATGATCAGGAGTTGGGGTTGAGCTTGTTTTGAGTCTCTTGGTGTCAGCTTGACAAGATCCACTTATTAATTAAGAACTCCTTTGGCATTGAGAATTTTTGTGGCTTGTTAATGTGTTTTACTGAAGGGTGAGCACAAACCCTGTCATATTCTGGGTTGGGCTATCGGGTCAGGTTTACCAAGGTCTTCATTTGCTAAGATACTTAGTACCCATGAAGAGTAATGAAGGGACACTCATTACAGACAATTCCTTCCCAATCAAGAGGGCTTAAATTCAACAAAATGATTTTAAAATGAATCTGCCACTCTTAAATGGCCCATTATGATAAATATTATAAACTGAAAGACGCAAGCAATGGAACATAATTGAAAATATTTTCTTGTTGCAGATGTAAATTGTCACAGGACTGTGAACCCTTATATCAGTTTTGACAACTGGCTGTTGCATTAGAAGTGTGTTCTGAGGTTCACTTGGGCAGTTCTTAGGCCACTGTACTCATTTAGGGTAGGAAATGTGTTGTTACTCAATTTCTTCACTATTGTGCCTGTCAGTGGAAACTTTATATCCTCTGTAATAGAATTATATGCTGAATTTGATAATTGAAATGACATACATAGTTTTCTATGGAACCATCTTTGTAGACCTGAAGCTTGGCTGAATATTTTTTTTGTAATAAATTTCTCCAAAATGGAAGAGGCTGGTCAAAAAGCTTTAGCATTGAGGGCAATTGATGTCCAGCATTTACTACTGAAATTTAAAGAGAATATTTTTTGCATGTATATATATTTTGCATATATACATACTTTTTAAAATAAATCAAGCCCTTGGGGTGCCTGGGTGGCTCAGTGGGTTAAGCATCCGACTTCGGCTCAGGTCATGATCTCACGGTTTGTGGGTTTGAGCCGCATGTTGGGCTCTCTGCTGACAGCTCAGAGCCTGGGGCCTGCTTCAGATTCTGTATCTCCCTTTCTCTCTGGCCCTTCCCTGCTCTCTCTCTTTTTCTCTCTATCTCTCTCAGAAATAAATAAAACATTAAAAAAATAAATCAAATCTTAGCATCATTCTCATGGACAGTTCACTAAAGTGCACTGAGGTAGACAGGAGTGTTTTTACTAAGATACTCTTCAGCTGGCTACAACTATAGCCCCAACATTCAGGTCCTCAGGAATCATGTGTAAGGTAAGTTTTAGGGAGGAGCATAGAATAGTTTTTGAAAGCATGAGGTTTCAACCTCAAACATGCCTGAACTTGAATCTCCACTCTAAGACATTACCTGTTCTTCTAAGTAACAGAAACTCCTGTGAAAGGGGGCAAATAGTAACAATACTTACTTCATGTATCTCTGAGTATAAAATGAGGCAATGTGCTAAAAAACCATATGTGATAGTGGTAGGAGAGGTGCATATATTTACAATTTATTTTTCTTAAAAAAACACTATAGTACATATAGGCATTTTTGTAAATGCACAAATATTAACTTAGGTCATTCCTCTAACAACTTGATGAAATATTATTATTATCATGTCCATCTGACAGTGGAAAAAACTGAAGGATGGAGAAGTTAATAATTTATCCATGGTGGATGAGCCAGAATTCAAACCCAAGAAATCTGCTCCACAGTCCATGCTTTTAACCATATGCATAGCACTGACATTATTTTCTTAATGTGAACCTGTGTATTCGTTATCTGTTGTGCACAGCAAATTACCTAGAATGTAGTGGCTTAACTCATTAAGCATTTATTATCTCACATTTTCTGTGGTCAGGAATCCAGGTGCAGCTGAGCTGGGTCTTCTACCTCAGGGTTTCTCACAAGGCTGCAGTCAAGGTCTTGGCAGGTGCTTCAGTTATCTGAAGGCTCTAGGGGAGGTTGATCTATT